CAATTATGTGTGCTGCGGACACATATTGAACGGTATGTCTGATGCCCTTTTTGATGTGTATCAAAATATAGAGACTGCAAAAGAATTGTGGTCCAAATTGGAAGAGAAATACATGTCGGAAGATGCCTCGAGTAAGAGGTTTCTTGTAAGCGAGTTTAACGCTTACAAGATGGTGGACGCAAGACCGGTTATGGAGCAATTTCATGAGCTCCAGATGATCTTGAGTAGTTTCACTCAACATGAGTTAAAAATGGATGAAACCATTATGGTTTCTTCTATTATTGACAAGTTACCACCGTCTTGGAAGGACGTTAAGCGTTCCTTGAAGCATAGGAAGGAAGATATGACCCTTGAGCAATTGGGATCACATCTTCGGATTGAGGAGAACTTTCGAATTCATGACAAAAAAGACACACATGTTTCTTCGTCTACTACGGTTCATGTGGTGGAGGAAGAGAAGAAACGGGGCCAAAAGAGGCCAAACAAATCCCCGAAAGGCCATTCAAACAAAAGGCCTAAGCCGAGTGGGAGTTGCTGGTTCTGCAACAAGCCCGGACACTTTAAAAAGGATTGCTATTCTTACAAGAATAGAAAGAAGGGTCAAGGCCAAGGCAAACACGACCAAGGCCAACCCAACCAAGGAGAGTGATAACTCTTGGTGGATTGATTCGAGGGTGTATAAGTCCGAGGTTGAAACACAACTCGGGGTTAAGCTCAAGAAGCTTAGAACCGATAGGGGAGGAGAATATTATGTCCGACATTCTTTGAATCCGTAGGCGTGATTCATGAGACGACCGCTCCGTATACACCGCAACAAAATGGTGTAGCAGAAAGAAAAAATAGGGTGTTGAAAGAAATGGTAAACTCCATGCTTTCTTTCTCGGGATTAAGCGAGGGTTTTTGGGGAGAAGCCATGTTAACGGCTTGCTACATTCTTAATCGAGTTCCCTCGAAAAAGAATAAAATAACCCCATATGAGCTATGGTATAAGCGAAAACCAAATCTGAATTATTTTCGGATTTGAGGTTGTCGGACAATAGTTAAAGTGCCGGAACCCAAACGAAAAACCGGACAAGGTGAACCTCGTAGAGGTAAGCGTATAAGGAAAAGTAAAACCTTTGGTCCGGACTTTCATATGTACCTAGTAGAAGGTACTAATGAGTCGATCGTGACTCAACTCGCTTATGTTTACAATATCGCGGGAGACCCTAGGACTTTTGATGAAGCGATGAGATCGCAGGATGTCGCATTCTGGAAAGAAGCGATTAATGATGAGATGGACTCCATCATGAGCAACAACACTTGGGTCTTAGTAGATCCTCCTCCAGGTTGTAAACCGATTGGTTGTAAGTGGATCTTCAAAAAGAAGATGAGAGTCGACGGAACTATTGCTAAGTTCAAGGCTCGTCTAGTAGCTCAAGGATTTAGACAAAAAGAAGGTATCGATTTCTTTGATACGTATGCACCGGTAGCTAGAATAGCTACGATAAGATTGTTGATCGCTCTTGCAGCGATAAACAATCTTGTGATCCACCAAATGGATGTCAAAACGGCATTCTTGAATGGTGATCTAGAAGAAGAGGTGTATATGAAGCAATCAGAAGGTTTTATCCTATCGGGACAAGCACACAAGGTGTGCAAGTTAATCAAATCGTTGTATGGGTTGAAACAAGCACCCAAACAATGGCATCAAAAGTTTGATGAGGTCGTTTTGGCTAATGGATTTCGTCTGAATTAATCAGACAAGTGTGTATATAGCAGGTTTGATGATAACGGTCATGGAGTTATCATTTGCTTATACGTGGATGACATGCTCATATTCGGGACAGAATTAGAGCAAGTCAAGAAGACAAAAGACTTCTTGTCATCGAAGTTTTCGATGAAAGACTTAGGTGAGGCTGATGTTATCCTTGGCATTAGGATAAAACGAGATCAAGGTTCGATAACACTATCTCAATCACATTACGTAGAGAAAGTGTTAAAACGATTTGATATGTTTGAAAGCCCTCCGGCTTCTACTCCGATGGATTGTAGCGCTAAGTTTGCACCTAATAGTGGGGAACCGGTAGCTCAACTTGAGTACGCTAGTGTCATTGGTTGTTTGATGTATGCTATGACTAGCACTCGACCCGACATAGCATACGCAATAGGGAAGTTGAGCAGATACACGAGTAACCCAAGCGTACATCATTGGAATGCTGTACGGAGAGTACTTCGGTACTTGAAAAAGACAATTAATTATGGTCTACACTACACGGGTCAACCTTCGGTGTTAGAAGGATATACCGATGCGAGTTGGAACTCTAGTGAAGAGGATTATGCCTCGGTGAATGGATGGCTTTACCTTTTAGGTGGAGCTGCGATTTCTTGGGCTTCCAAGAAACAAACTTGCATTTCGGATTCGACCATGGCGTCGGAATTTATCGCCTTAGCGGCTGCTGGGAAAGAAGCAGAATGGCTAAGGAATTTGGTATTCGAAATACCATTATGGCCTAAACCGGTATCGCCTATTGCAATACATTGTGATAGTGCTGCGACATTGGCTAAGGCATATAGCCATGTTTACAATGGAAAGTCTAGACATATCGGGTTAAGACATAGCTATGTGAATGGTCTTATTAAAGACGGGGCCATAATGGTGGATTTTGTGCGGACCAAACAAAATTTGGCGGATGCTTTCACAAAAAGCTTGCCAAGGGACGTGGTCCACAAAATGTCACAAGGGATAGGACTTGAGCCGGTTTCATGAATTGCAAGTAAAGGAATCTCAACTCAACGTCTAGTACAACGCTAGATCTTGAGTTCAACGAGTTAAATCCTTTACTATGTAATTGTAGATGCTTCACAAT